GGTATATGGCCAAATGCGATATCGGCGGGGCTATATACAATTCCTACCCCGTTTTCGTCGGGGAAAATAGGATGGAAAACCAGGGACTCGAATAAAAATGCTCGGAGTCCGGAGGAGGTTAGGTGTTTGAATACTGTAGGTAGGTAGAGAAACGAAGCAGTCTCGGCCGAGGGGCCGCCGAAGGAACGCCGGTAACGGGGGGGGAGAGGGGGCGGGATATTGAGAGACGGGCTGATGAGGGGCTTTATTATTGGAAAGGACGCGGGAGCTTATCTTGAAGAGAGCTGGAGAGGAAGAGAAAGAGAGAGATAAGGAAACAGAATCACTATTCATGTTTTTGGTGTGTGAGACTGGGCCACCGGCGGAGACGGCGGGCGGCGAAGGCAGCCCATGTCATGCACATCTTGGAGGGGGGAAGGCAGGCAGGCAGGCACTAAATATTTGGCTGGTTGTACCGAATACCAATTGGCCATCGAGTAATGTCAGGGGTTTGTGGAAACGACGGCGTCATTGGTGGCACGCGTTTGTCTCCAGGTAGCCGTTTCCAGTGAACAAGCACCACAAGCAAGGGCAAGGGGGGGGGGGGGCGATCGCATCTGTCTTTTTTTTTTCGCGGGACCCTCCGCCAGTCTCAGCCAGTAAACAACATCGGCTAGGTACCTTTCTGCTTGGGTTGTACTACCTAGCGGGGAAACAAGACACACCACCATGTTGTAGATACCCCCGCCGGGGTTTGGCCTTATCTATACGCTAGTCTCGCGGACGGCTCTGTATGGCTGGATCCCTTATCTCGAACCAGGAACCTCGTTTTTTTTTTTTTTTTTCTAAATATTTCTTTCTGTTTGGCTTGTGAAAGGGCTGCCTGTTGTGTTTTTTTGCGACCACCCGATTTTGTCCTTGCCCTGCCTGCTTCTTCTTTCCTTGATCGGCCTCGGGCGGCGGCGTCCGGGGCGGTCAATTGCGCCTCTAATCTTTCTTTTCTTTCTTCTATTCACATCTTTTGCACGCCAGCTACGTAATCATTCTGTAGTCCCCTTTGCGGCTCTGCTTTGCCGAAAAATGGGGAGGGGAGGCGCTGGCTTGGGTTGGGCAGGCAAGCAAGCGCCAGCCAGTGTCCCGTACGGGATTTGGAATGGGGCATTTCTTCGCCTTTTTGGGGGGCTAGTGCGCTGCGTGTCTTTCTTCTTTATCCGGGTACACGCACACACAAACAGACATGATGACGCAGTTTAATGTACTCTTGGGATTTCGGTGGAGCCGAGGCCAACGCCCATCAGCCTCGAAGAGAAAGATGATTGTTTCCAGTGGTTGAATACAGAATAAACCCCCACAAACATTTTAAGCCTTTTGCGGCAACAGAGTTTCAAGGCACTTGCGACCATCGGAGTTTACCCTGGGCTGGGGGGTGGCTTGAAGGCATTGATTGGCCTGCTTGCACGCTTGCAGTAGCCCTGACAATGTCGCTCTAATCCGTACTGTCCATCCATCTACTTACTGTTATTTAGTTTTATTCGCATGTCGCCTGCGACCGAGTCAAAATTTGGTGGGGCCAGAGAGAGAGGCGCTGCCGAGAAACTGGGTACTTTGTCTCGCCTCCCAGCTAAAACCACTCTCCACCACCACCTATTTTCCTTATCAGTCGCCTCACATTGGTAGATGCGCCTCTTCACTTTATTATTTATTATTTTATTCCTCACTTTCTATGTAGGTAACGTCCCATGTTGGTACTAGCCTTTTGGGCTTCGGACGACGACGGGATGTAGCGCCCCCTTCTGTACACAAAAGTTAATGTCCGACCTCGCCCACCCCATCACGGGCCGACTAGAACACCAAACAAATATCCTGTAGCCTACAATCGTTATCATAAAAGAGCTGGGCTTGGCCCATCTCGTTCCTCGGAACCTTGAATTTCCATCATTATCCATCTAGCCGGCTGTGGCACAGACAAAACCAGAAAGCTTAACTAGATCCATTATCCAGCGCACCTACCTATAAAGTCCATACTCATCCTACCTCCCTATCTTATCATTCCTATCTATCTGCTTCCTCCCTCGTCCCGACATGTTTGAAGCACCTCTTCCCGTTACTCTTCCTCCTACCACCGACTACCACCACGCTGATCCTGTCCGCACCCACGACGCTACGCCCACCCAGATCCTCCAGAACCAGTCTTCTTCCGACAACAAGCCCGTCAGCAACAAGTCTGCCCAGAGCAACTCTTTGCCCACCATGTCCAACATTCCCTCCGAGCCCGAGTTTGAACAGGCTTACAATGGTACGCCTTTTCTTGTCTTGCCCAGCCTGGGCCCCTTTGCTTCCTCTGCGTGTCGAGGCCTGATTGACTAATACATCTACTGCAGAGCTCGTCAGCACTCTCGAGAACAGCTCCCTCTTCCAGAAGCATCCCGAGTACAGAACCGCCCTCGAGGTTGTCTCCATCCCCGAGCGTGTCATTCAGTTCCGCGTCGTCTGGGAGGATGACAAGGGCAAGGTCCGCGTCAACCGTGGTTACCGTGTCCAGTTCAACTCGGCTCTGGGCCCCTACAAGGGTGGTCTGCGATTCCATCCTACCGTAAACCTGTCCATGTAAGTCACCATCAACTAAACCAACAAACATGATGTATGACGCTGACTTTTTTTAATAGTCTCAAATTCCTTGGCTTTGAGCAAATCTTCAAGAATGCTCTCACTGGACGTGAGTAGTCCCAACCACTTACACATACCCAGCGTCATACTAAAACACAAAACTAGTCAACATGGGCGGTGGCAAAGGTGGTGCCGACTTTGACCCCAAGGGCAAGAGCGACGGCGAGATTCGCCGCTTCTGCCAGGCCTTTATGCGCGAGCTTTCCAAGCACATTGGTGCCGACACCGACGTCCCCGCTGGTGACATTGGTGTGACCGGCCGCGAGATTGGCTTCATGTTTGGTGCCTACCGACAGGCGCGCAACAAGTGGGAGGGCGTGCTGACCGGCAAGGGCCTTGACTGGGGTGGCAGCCTGATCCGCCCCGAGGCCACCGGCTACGGTCTCGTCTACTACGTCGACTATATGCTGCAGCACGCTGGTCGCGGCAGCTTCGCCGGCAAGCGCGTCGCCATTTCGGGCTCCGGTAACGTCGCCCAGTACGCTGCCCTCAAGTGCATAGAGCTCGGCGCTACCGTCGTCTCCCTTTCCGACTCCAACGGCGCTCTGATTGCAGAGGGCTCCAAGGGCTTCACTGTCGAACAGATTGACGAGATTGCGACCCTCAAGGTCAAGCGCCAGGCTCTGACGGCCTTCAAGGTCTCCTCCGGCTTCAAGTACATTGAGGGTGCCCGTCCCTGGGTACATGTTGGCAAGGTTGACGTTGCGCTGCCCTCTGCGACTCAGAACGAGGTCAGCAAGGAAGAGGCCGAGGCCCTCATCGCCGCCGGCGTCATTGCCATCGCCGAGGGCTCCAACATGGGCTGCACCCAAGAGGCCATTGACGTTTTCGAGGCTGAGCGCACCTCCAAGGGCGACAAGGCCATTTGGTATGCGCCCGGCAAGGCCGCCAACTGCGGCGGTGTCGCCGTCTCTGGTCTGGAGATGGCCCAGAACAGCCAGCGCCTCACCTGGACCACCGAAGAGGTCGACGAGAAGCTCAAGGGCATCATGAAGGCGGCCTTTGACAATGCCCTCGAGACGGCCGAGAAGTATGTCACTGCCAAGCAGGGCGAGCTGCCCAGCTTGGTCGCTGGCAGCAACATTGCCGGCTTTGTCAAGGTTGCCCAGGCCATGCACGACCAGGGTGACTGGTGGACTCAGTAAATCTGGAAACTGCAACAAGCATAGCTGGCCTTTTTTCTTTTCCATTTACTTGATGTACGTGTTTTTTTGGAGTTTGGTGCGTTGGAAAGGTGCTACACAGGCATTTACACGGTTATTTCTTTGACGATTCCCACCACGCCACAGCATTTGAGATTGGAACATTGTATATAGGGCGTCGGATAATTTCGGCTTATTTTTAAAAACGTTAGCAAAAAAATAGAATACACTGCCAAGGCATAATTACTTTGAACATGCGAGTGACTTGACATTCATGACCTGCAAATTGAATTTTAATCTACACATAATCAAATATCAGAGCCAATATCTCTTTAGCAGGAATACTTCTTCAGCAGAGATACTTCTTCAGCAGAAAGACTAATCAGTATCATGACGGCTCGGCAGTGTTGCTGATTGTCTGCAATTTCCCCATACTTTGGATCGCACATCAGGCTTACCCCACATAGCCGACGTCCCTCGGTTACACGGCTGCATGTATACAAGCCCGCCATCATTGCCAATCCGACCGACCTGTTTGTTGCAACTACGATTTGACAAAATTTCATCAAAATAAACGCCCGTCTTTGTTTTTTGTTTTTTTTTTTCACCAAACCAGACACACTCACATCATGGTCGGCGCACCCCCCCTCACAGGCATCAAGGTGCTCGAGTTTGCGGGCCTCGCTCCCGGTATGTCACCAACACCAAACCCCCCCCCCCCCCCCCCCAAACGCTCCCATTCCCATCAACCACCACCATCAATTGTTCTAACATGATTCTCCCGCATACAAGGTCCCTTTGCGGGCATGATGCTCGCCGACGCGGGCGCGACCGTCCTGCGCGTCAACCGCCACAACGACGCCCCGCAAGACATGCTCGCGCGGCACAAGGCCTCCATTGCCGTGGACCTTAAAGACGCGCGCGGCATCGCGCTTCTCCATTCGCTCGTCGCCTCGGGCGGCGTCGACGTGCTCATTGATCCGTTTCGTCCGGGCGTGCTCGAGCGTCTCGGTCTGGGGCCGGAACCGCTGCTACGCCTGAACCCGCGGCTCGTGTACGCCCGCATCACGGGCTACCGGCGCGACGGCAAATACGCCACCATGGCGGGCCACGACATTAACTACATTGGCGTCTCGGGCGCGCTGTCGCTGCTCGGCGCCGCGGGCGAGCGTCCGCAGCCGCCGGTCAACATCCTCGGCGATTTCGCGGGCGGCGGCGCCACGCTCTTTCAGGGCATCCTGCTGGCGCTCCTCGCGCGCGCGACGACGGGCCGCGGCCAGGTGGTCGAGGCCAACATGGTCGACGGCAGCTCGTACCTGGCCACTTTTCCGCGCATGGCTCGCGCGACGCCCATGGGCGACAAGCCGCGCGGCCAAAACGTGCTCGATGGCGGGTGCCCCTGGTACGGATGCTACGCGACGCGAGACGGGAAATGGGTCACGGTGGGCGCGCTGGAGCCGCATTTCTTCGCGCAGCTTATCAAGGGACTCGGGTTGGAGGGAAGAGGATGGGAAGAGGACCGTGGTGATGAGGAGCGCTGGCCGGAGCTTGCGCGGCTGTTTACAGAGATTTTCAAAAGCAAGACGAGGAGTGAGTGGGAGGCCGTGTTTGACGGGACGGATGCGTGTGTTGCGCCGGTGCTGGACTATGAGGAGCTGCAGACGGACGAGACGCGCGAGGGCGACCAGCGGCCTGCGGTGACGCTGCGGGATACGCCGTGGCGCGCGGTGGCGGCAAGACGGAGGCGACAAGGGGCCGCCGAGGCAAAGGTGGTGGTTAGTGATGAGGACCGCGGACAGGGCGACGGCGTCGAGGGCGAAGGATACCTGCCGACGCTGCTGGATGTGGGCGAGGGCGGCGACGAGGTGCTCGGTGCGTGGCTGGGTTGGAAGCGCGGAACGCACTTTGAGGATAAAAACGGGCGAGGCCTCTCATTGATCAACGACAAGGCCAAGATATAAAAGGGGAAAAAAAAAAAAGATGTTGAATATTATCGCAACTTTCCGGTCTCCCGTTTCATGCTATAGAAAACATGTCCATGACACAATAACACTGCTTGTGGTAAAAGGCGCGTACATGTCAAGCTGTACATCATGTTTCTAATCTGCCGTAAATAAGCCTGTAACCTGCGCAACCATCCTGATACAATCGTGGGAGAGGAAAACAAAATAACAATAAAACTTTCAAGTCACTTCATATCTACTCTAAGCCCCGGTCCAACAAGTCATGGTATCGAAAAGGGAAATTGAAATACTAACTTCTTTTGTATTACCTTTATCCGCCCAGGAGCGGTAGAGCGCTGCGCTGCAGCACAGCTTGCGTCTCCGTGCCGAATAAAGACGCGCGAGCCAAGTTTTGCAACCTGTCCGACACCACTCTTTCTTTACTGCACTTGGCTGACAATCTCGCTGGCGCGCGACAGCGATTCCACCATTTGCTGGCACTCCTTTCGTCGGCGAATGGTGAAGTCGCTCTCCTTTAGTAGCTCTTCCAGAGCATCGGTGCGGTACATGTTCTCGAGGAGCTCCTTTTGCATTTCATCCTTGGTAAATCTGACCATGTTAGTAAACAAGACGACCATGGACTTCAACATGTTGCTTACTGAACAAGCGTAAGCATAATGGCCTTGGGCACCATGTCAATCATTGTGCGCTTGACAATATTGTAGTATGAAGAGATGAGCAGTTCTGTACGTGTTAGAAACTTGATTAGTAAAGCAGAGAGAATACACATACTGATAACCTCGACCTCAATGTTTTCGCGTTCAGACAATGTGCCAGAGGCCTTGAGCGTGGGAGGAGGGGCCTCCATAGCAGCAGCCTTCTTCTTGTTCTTGGCAGCAAAGAAACTGCCAAAGAAACCACCGTTGCCATCAGTTTCGGGGATAGGCGGGCTAGTTGTGCGGGCGGGGGTGGCGGCCACAGGCAGGGGCTTGCCGGTCTTGGGGTCGACCTGGACCGGCTTGCTAGGGTTATGGCGCTCGTTGACAACAGCCATGGCCTGTGATTGTTAGCCTACTGTTCTCATCAGAAGGATCAGCGCTACTTACGCGGTGACCATTCAGAAAGTCGGGATGGCCAGTGTTGATGTAGCACGCCTCCATGTTGACAAGATCGCGAACGAGCTTGTTGGTGGGCTCCATGGCCTTTTTGAAGAAAGCAATGACAACGCTGTGCATTTTCTCCTTGAGAGAAGGATAGCGGCGGTACAGGGTCTTTCCAAGCAACTGAGAGAGAATGCGAACCAGCTCATCGTAGACGAGCGAAATGCACTTCAAGCTAGGGTCCTCGAGGCGCTTGATCTGCTGCTTCACAATCAGCTCAAAGGCTGTAGTGCCAACGAACAGAGCCGGGGAAGAGCCAGAGGAGTTGTAGAGAATGGTACGAATGTCGACATCCTTGACGACATCAAAGGGATCAATGGCCTTGACGCCGTTGGAGTAAAGCTCGTGGAAGACAAAACTAATACGGGCACCACCGGAAAGCTCGGTGCTGGAAAGTTCATTATTGTTACCATCAAGAACGGTTCGCCACTCGTTGGTGAATTCGGTAATGATGTTGAGGATAATATTGGCGCTGTTGCCCAGCATGGAAGGGCCTAGGCTGTCGAGTTCGGCCGTGTATTTTTGCAGGGAACTGGCGATTCTGGCCTTGATGTCAGGTAGTGTCTGCTTGATGTGCATCATAAGAATCAAATTGAGCTTGCGAGCGAGGTATGGGGTGCCGCAGTAGGAGCTCTTGTTACGGTAGGCCTTGTGGTTTTCAAAAAAGTTCTTCTCGGCTTCGAGAGCAGCGTTGATGGCCTTCTTGTTGTCAATGTCGCGCTGACCACGGTTGACGACGGGAACGTAACCGAGACGCAGAGGAATGACGCGGTTGGAGAGAATGTCAATGACATCAGTACCATCGTCCATCAGATCGACCTTTGTGAGGACACCAATGGTTCGCTGACCTTCTGGGTCGACTTCGCGGGCGAGCTTGAGACCATCTGAGTTGGCCAAGTCAATGTTGGCAGAGGTGACGGCGAGAATGATGGCGTTTGATTTGCCAATGTACTTGAGGACCATTTCGCGAATCTGCCTCTCAATATCTCTGGGTTGGTCACCAACGGGGACCTTGGTAAGCCCGGGCAAGTCGACGAGGGTCAGGGTCAGGACGTTGGGAGAGTAGATGCGGAGGTTGATGGGGGCGGCAGAGATGCCGCCATTCTTGCCGACCTTGGCCTCGGTTTCGTTGGCAATCTCATCGCGAATCTTGGAAAAGTCATAAAACTTTTGGCCAGGGACGTGAAGGAACTCGCCCCATTCGTCGGCGTTGGCGGCCTTGTCGTTGCCGCCGTCAATGTCGCCTTCCTTGACGCCGTTGGACTGGGCGGGCCGGTTGATGAGCTGAAGGACGAGGGGTCGACGTGTAACGATTCCGGAACCACGCGGAAGGCTGCACCAGCTTATCAGTAACACAAAAAGTCGACCGCGCGGCAACCGATGGTGCAGACTTACAAGTCACGGCCGACAATATTTTCCAATACGGAAGACTTTCCGCTGGACTGGCTACCGACGACGGCAATCTGGGGAAGATCGATGGGGTTGTTGACGCCGACAGTAGCAAAGACATCCTGCAGCTTGTTGACGAGACTGGACGGGCATGGTCAGGTTAGCGAACTGTCTACCAGGGGATAGGGAGGTCGGCAAGGCGAGGACGCACGTAATGAGGGCGGGGTCGGAAATACCGCCCGGAGAGGAGAGGTTGCCGCTCATGATGGGCGAGATTTTAGAGCGTGTGTATCAGCGGACAGGCTGTCGTCTGGAAGCAGGCTCGTAGGCGCGAGTAGGTAGCTGTGATGGGACCCGGAGCGGTGTCGTTTGTTTGGAAGGGGAGGTGGGGTGGGCTGCCGCCGTTGGAGATCAAAGGTCGGTAGTGGTGGCAGATTGCGAGCCGATGGATTAGGTAAAGGCACGATGCGGTAGCAGATTGAAGCCGGAGGAGAGGTGGCGCAGAAGACGGGTTGTGGTAGAGAAGATGGTGAAAGGGAGGGCTTGCAGCGAGAGATGGTGACGCTGCACAAGACGACAGCAAGTTGGCCGTCCCACCAAGAGGAAGAGGCGAGCCCAACCACGTAACACGTCTCGGTGGTTGTGTGGCTGAGACGGGCTGCCGAGGGCACCTCTAGCCACTAAAAAAGGGCGTAAAGTTTTGCTGTCCTGGCGAGTCTTTTGCACTAAAGCGTTACGCCACTGTGGCTGGGCTCAGGCAACCACATTGCGATGATGGCATTGGGCATGAGCGGAGGTAGTGAGTACATGGCGACTTGTGAATCACGGGTTTTATACTCCTGAAATTTCACAAGTCTTGGTACCCTATACTTACTACAGTGGCATTGCATCCAGGCACAGCACGAGCGAGCAAAGTCAAAAAAATAAGAACAGGATGTATGAATCTCTTCCATTTAATGGCATAGCAGATTGGCTTTCCCTTTCCATCTGTTCCATTTGCTATGGGCTAACGTCATCTGGTAATAGGACACACTGATGTAGTCTAGTCATGATGGCAGCCTTGTAGGCATCCAAATTGTGCCCTGACTTGTTTCGAAGGTTCAATGTCTCGACCAGGCGTCGGTAGTTTTTCGCTAGCTCAGCAGTATCTTGCTGTGCCTTGACCAGCAGCTTTGACCTGACATATACGCAGCTATCAGCGCTGATCTATGGCGGCGGGTGCGGCAGCAATCCAATACCAGACATTGCAGAAAATACTAAAGAAATTCTGTAAAGATGGAGGGCGATTGAATACATCGAAAAGCTTGCATGAAATGTCCTGGAATGCTGCGATGCCAGTCTGAAGCTGCGGCGTCCATGCCCAATTAGGTTACCTTGGAGTCAACTCAACAAATAGCACTATGATTTTGCCAACAGTGTATTTAGGAGGACCTTGCAGGGAATTTAGGTACCTACCTTAGGGGTCGATGGAGGTCCTCAGAGCGCTGAAAGCTACCTAAAGCTGACAGCTCAGGCTCTGCCACCAGCCTCCAGCCTTTTTGTGGCGTTTCGGCATTAAGCAAGCACAGGCAAGCAAGCAAGCAACCTGGGCTTTTCTAGTGCCACCTTCTTCTCAGCCATGCTCTGGCCTCCAACATCTCCAACGCAGCGCCCTTTCCTCTCGTCACGCCTTTTACCGCCCTTACATCTGTATCACGGCCAAGACTATAAACTCTTGCTCGTGCACTCTTCAGTCACCCATTCCGCCGCAGACTCGGCCTGCTCTGCTGCACATCGGACGCCGCCGCCGCTCACCCACATGTGCCCAGCCGCCACCCGCTTTTGGGGTTCGATTAGGCCATCACAACCGCACCCGTCGACACCACCACGCCCGCCCTCGGTACGACTATTTGCTTCTATCACGCGCGCCTGAGCCATAGGCCCCCCGTCGGCCGGCTCCTGAAGAAATTCCGCCTCTTAACCCTGCGGCCACCCGCCGCGGCGAGGTCGACCTGGATCGACTCTCCGATTCCAGTATTAACCGCCCCGCTGACGCTTCCGACGTCTCGACGACCACGACCACGACCACGACTGCTGCACCTCAGCAGCCCGCTTCGCCATCAACCACGACGCCCACCGCTCCCCCGCCCCAGACATCCTTTGCTCACGCCCTTCGACCTGTCACTCCAGACGCCGCCCGTGCGAACATAGAATCTTCCTCGGCCTCATCTCCTCCCTCGCCGCTGCATCCCGGCCAGATACTCGGACGACGGCGTCGACGTTCTTCCTGCCACGACGATACCGGAGCGCCTCTCGCCTCGGCTGCTGCAGCTTCCGGTGCAGACACCCAGGCAGAACCGGAACCGAAACGAAGAAGACGCGCCCCAGCAGACATGGTTGCCCCCGACGACCACACCGCGCCTGACAACGGTCCTGCGCCCCAATCCGGAGCCAATGGCACATCGCCTTCATCGCCGCTGAGGACGGCTAACGGCAGCAAAGCAAATGGAGATGCCAAACCCTCGATAGAGACTAATGGTTCGTCAGCAAAGGGGAAGCGAGTGGGCGCCGGCCCCAAATTGGATACCTACTTTGGCCACAATAGAGAAGAGGTTACCCGTATCCTTATCCAGGCCTTGACAGACATGGGCTACCAGACTGCCGCCGAAAATGTCAGTCATGAAAGCGGCTTCACTCTAGAAAACCCTACCGTCGCTGCTTTTCGGTCTTCAGTCCTCGACGGCGCCTGGGACGAGACGGAAAAGTTGCTCAATGGCGCCATCACGCCCGAGGGGCACGGAGAGCCAGGGAACGGCCTTGTTCTCGCCGCCGGGTCAGATCGAGGCACCATGCGATTCTGGGTCCGCCAACAAAAATATCTTGAGCTCTTGGAGCGCCGAGACACCAGCCGGGCCCTCGTGGCTCTACGCAACGACTTGACGCCCCTCTCTCAGGATACAGAAAAGCTTCGCTTATTATCAAGTCTGCTCATGTGTCGCTCAACAGACGATCTCATGTCCAAAGCAAACTGGGACGGCGCACAAGGCCGATCCCGACAAAGATTATTATCAGAACTGTCTAGTACGTGCTACTCTTCAGCGTGCTTCTACTTAGCAATCAGCCCTAACCTGCCACAGAATGTATATCACCCTCCGTCATGCTTCCTGAAACCCGCCTCGCCGTTTTATTAGACCATGTAAAGAAGAGCCAGATCGATACTTGCCTTTATCACACGGCTGCTTCCTCCCCATCGCTGTACTCGGACCATTTCTGCGAGCGCCGAAATTTCCCCACCGAAGTCGCCCTCGAGCTCTCTGACCTAGCCGGCGAGGCTTGGCAGGTGCAATTTTCGCACGACGGTGCCAGACTTGCCGCGTGCGGCAGTAGTGAAGCCGTCGTTATCTGGGAGACGTCGACGTTTTCCACCATATGCGTTTTAGCTGATCACGAAGCTGGTGTCGGCAACATCTCGTGGAGTCCCGACGACACCATGCTCGTAACCTGCTCACAAGATAACTTTGCCCGGCTTTGGGATGCCAGGGTAAGCACTGCCTCTCATCTCACTCGAACGAGTAAATGCTAACAATATCGCAGTCGGGCGCATTAATAAAGAAACTGTTTAGCTTTGATAAACCCGTCACTGGGTGCCTGTGGGCCGCCGACAGCAAGTCATTTGTACTGGGTGGTCTCTCGCGCGCCCACGGGCTGTGCACTTTTTCCGTCAACGGCGACGAGATCCAGGAATGGGGCAGGGACCACCGCGTGCAGGACCTAGCCCTCTCGCCCGATGGCCGCTGGCTAGTCGCCCTCGACGACCAGCACACGTTCCACGTTTACAACGCCAAGACGCGCGAGTTACTCTACAGCCACGAGCTCAAGACGAGGCCGACGTCGGTCAGCATCAGCGAGGACTCGAAGCACATGCTCCTCAATAAGCACGACGGCGAGGCGCAGCTGATTGAGATTGAGACGAAAGCCTACAAGCAAAAGTTCCTCGGCCATACGGGTGGCGAATTTCTCATTCGCAGCGCATTTGGCGGCGCCAACGAGGGCTTTGTCGTTTCGGGCAGCGAGGACGGCAACATCCTTATCTGGCACAAGAATACGGGTGCCGCTGTGGAGCGCCTGAAGGGGCATGATCCCCGATGCAACGCCGTGGCATGGAATCCGGCGGATCCGTGCATGCTGGCGTCCGCTGGCGACGACTGCCGCGTAAAGATGTAAGTTGATGCCGTCTGCTTTTTCTTTCTCTTATCTATTTGAACCGTGCTGATAGATGGTGAATGTAGCTGGAGCAACAAGACTCGTGCCGCCGAGTTGAGAACCTTGCACGCGCGTGTGCCCAGCAACAATGGCTGGCGCAATCCAGACGAGGGCATCTACTAAAAAGGACGACATCGTACCAACAACCCACACCTTGTTCATTCCGCTGTTCCTTCCTTTTACGGCCTTTTCTTCTTGGATTCTTCTTGTTTTCTGGCCACTCGTTTATAGGTGAAGGGCAAAGGCACAATCGGGCTGTCGGGGAGGCAAGGTTGTCTTTTTTTGTTCTTTTCATGGGTACCTTGGGGTTTATACTCTCTCTTCCACAACAAAACAACAACGCATACATTTTTTTTTACCTTCTTCCTCGAGAAGGAGTCAAAATAACCACGAAACGGAGTTGACTATTCGCGCGTCATTTTTTTTTCTTTGCCTTGTTCTGGTTTAACATTGGTATTTCACCGTTTCTGGTTCTTCTGCCGCTTGTGCATTCATTCTTGTTCAAATTGGTATTTCACCTTTTTTTTTCTTTTGGTCTTTTATCGAATGATTTCTCCTTCTTCGCTCATGACGAAAACCTGCGTCCTCGTTATCGACGCAGGATGCATCACACACACCACTCCTTTGTTCTAGTCATCAGGTAGTAGTCTTTTTTTTTTCTTTTTGGTTTTTAGAGATGCCACTGCCCTACTGCATTATTGGATAGAAGACTAATGTATTACTTGTGAATTATTTGCGTTTCTTCTCCGTGGCGTATCGCGTGCTGTGAAACCGAGGCTCTGATTGCGCAAGAGAGAAAAAAAAGTTCCAAGTGGACGGAAGTGACTCCGAGTGGTTGACAGATGCTCCAGTCTCGTGATGTTTGCTATCCTCGCCGTTAGTGAGAAACAAGACACCAAATCCATTCTCGTTGTGCAACGTATCACACAAAGACAACGTCCGGCTTACATCGAGGACCTTTGACACCAAGAGCGCGGCCAGAAAAAGCAAGGTGGCCGTTGCACCAGATCCTGGCACTGTTACCCGGAAGCCCCTTCTCTTTTCGGCAGTCGGTGTGAGACGAGTGACGCATCGTCAGCCTCGCACCGCGGCCCCCCCCCCCCCCTGCACCCCCAAAAAAGAAAAGTAGGTAGGTCTGGGGAAACAAGTGAGGACAAGATCCCCCCTGCCCTGGCGGCAGTCCTGGCTTCCAACCCCCGGGTTGGGTCCGGGTGCCAGTTACGTCGTGGCCAGTCAGGCTATATAGATCAAGCTTGAGTGAGAAGGGGTGAGGGCCACGACATGAAAAGGCCACCAGTAATATCAGCAAAATCTTGAGCGATTCAAGAGACCGCCAGGTGTTTCCAATTGCGTTTGCGAAATCCTGTCGGTAGACGGACGGAATCGAGCACAAAGGGCAAGACATTATCTCGACTGTCAGTGAATGGTAACACAGGAGTTGCGGTGTAACATGCTGCATTGGGACAGGTGGCCGAGACTCCGTCAAGGCGATATGCAAATAGGATGACACAAGTTGCAAAACACCGCCATGGGTTCGCTGCCTTTTCATTCAATGTATTCAGTGTCCGATTCACTCTGACTGGCTTCTGGTCACTCGACCTTCCAAGTTGGTCTCTGTCTCGAGTTTTGCTAGTTATTTTACGATGCAGGCAGCATGACAGGTCAAAACTAGCTTCTCCGGGCCGCCTTTCCGTCTGCATCGGGCCATGACAGACAAACAAAGCCGACTGTCTTTTTTACGGAATCGATGTGCTGATGGGATAGCATTGATCGACGCGACATCACGGCCAGCGCCGTGGCGCCTAGCCCAACAAGGTAGCCTCGAGGCTGCAATCTGCAGCTTGTTGATGAGGCTGCCGGTATCGCGCTCATGCGCCAGCTTTATAAAGCATGGCATTGACCAAGCGGCTTGGGAGCATTAGCCAGCGTGACGCGAGACATTACACAGTATTGGCTGTCTGGAAGGCATGTGATGGATGACCATGGAATGCAAAACCGTTAAAGCTACACGTGCAAGATTACCTGATAAAAAAAAATGCGATCTTAATCCCGATACGCTGCGCTACATGGGAAGCGTTCGAGCGTAAGCAGAATACAGCATGCAGGCTATATCAGATAGCTACCGAGCCGGCGGTGTGTACCTTGTATTTCGGGTGAGCGATCGAATATATGACAGGATTCCAATAATTGGCATATTGAGAAATCGATGAGCATAAGCCTTGACTGGCGCCTCTTCAACGCCTCTTCAGCGCCATCAGTAGTCATTTCTCGATTACGTGCTTGTATAGCATCCAAGTCAAGCAGTATACTGGTTCAATTTGAGAAGCAGTGGCGGTCTCGCCAGTAGTACAGAGCCAGTCGCAGCCACTGAAGGTGACAAAGCCTGAGTCATTAGCCAACGTCTCACGGAGCTCATGCACTGTGACAAGCAACATGGGTCTTATAGGGTCTGGCCAGATTGCACCCCTGTCAGTCTGGAGGCTGCGCAGGCGCTCGCTAGTCCGAGTTTCTAGAACGTCAAATCGATAGCGTAGATGTCAAGGTGACGGGTGGCAAAAGTGATATCGTTTCATGTCCGAATGCAAGAAAAACAGCTAATACGAGCTCCACGGCATGCGACTTGGAAACAACGTGCCCCGCCTATTGCTGCTTTGTATCCGGCTGGAAAATAAGGCGCCGGACAATGACGAGCACGAGCACGGCCAGATCTCCGCGTTCTTCCAATACGCGGACGGGTATACCCGTATTGTCGAGTGCCAACGCAGTGGCAGCCAACGATTGGTCGAGATGCCACTGACAAGATCAGTCGGCCCCTGACAGACCGACAGTTGGGCTGGAGAGGCAGAGCGCAGCTGTACTAGTAATGATGCTGATGTGCTGTCTGTGTTGGCGTCTGTAATGGGGGCGTTGCAGCTGTCGGGGTTGCTTTGGGCGGCGGGCCCAAGGAGGTGGTGGGCCGGGCTGTTTTAGTGGCAGCAAGTGTTGTGAGTGGATGCGCAAGCACGGCCATGTTTTCTTTTTTCTCGTCTTCTAGCATGACTTTGAGTGCATATTGATTTGGACGGCCCCGGAGAAATGCACAAGAGATGGCTGTGGCTGACGAGCTAGTAAGACAGAAAGGTGCTGCGCCGGCAGTTGTGCCTCAAAATCGGGATATAGGTGTGCTTGCGTGTGATTGACTGATTGCCAATGGCGTGTTGGTCGACGAGGGTCCTCTTATTAGGCATGTGAAGCTCTTATTGGTCATTACCCGACAAGCCACTTGTTTATCAATTTCAAATACAAGGCCATGTTGAAACCAATGAGGCCCCATGGTGAGAAGAATGGGCCCAAGAATGGCAGGAGGCTTCAGAAGCGTTGAACAAGGCAAGGCTGCTCGTGGATACAGTGGCGGACAAGACAAAGGGCCTATGGTGAATTGGGCCGTGGCCGTCGGAAGGTCTCATCAAAGCTTCGGAGCCTCAGACGTGCATCAAGAGCGGGCGTTGTTGTGACGTCCGAGATGCGGCAGCCGCAGTGAGCCTGACTGAGCCAGCTTTGAGCTGGTCGGCAGTGTTGAAAAGGTGTGATATGTGTGGCCTGCAAGCAGGACATGGTTATTTAATGATTACCCCGCCCAAGAAGCCGATGGCATGAATTGCCCAATAGGTAAGTGATAGGCCACAGACGGCGTCTGACCGAATTGTGCATGGCAGCCAAAGCATGGGAGGCAGGGACATGGTGGCGGCGAGAGGATAGCTGTGGATTGCCAACTGCCAGCAAACCCAGTATTCCACATGGCAGAGGTGGGCGTGGTACATATGTGCAGAGAAGCGGCGAAAAGATTCGTTTCTGGCTAGCCTGGAAAGACCACGTCCGTCTAAACGGGAGAGGGGTTTCGGCAGGCGAATTGTCTCGTCTTGTTGTCAGCTTGGCGTTTGTTGGTGGCATGGTGGTGGTGGTGGTGTGCGAATGGCATGGCGTAGTTGATCTGGTTCCTGGAGTCGCCCCTGACCATTCTATTTGCCCCTGTAGGCTAACTAGCATGCTAGGTAGTTGGCTAGTCGGCTAGTTGGATTTTTGTTGGCATTTGTTGGACCGTCGAGGCTGACGACGAGGCGGCGGATTCGAGGTCAATGCGAAGGCTGAAACGGTGCCGCAGGAGCATCACGCACGCCAATACGCACGAGGAGCTTGTGTGGAGGGGTCGGGCGGAGCAGGTCAGCTAAGCGATGTCATTGGCAGCGGGCTATGGACGATGGTTGTCGAATATTGACGGATGGGGCGCAATGTCTCTGCATCATTGATCACTTATCAAAATAATCAAATGGCCGGGATGGGAGACGACGAGGCCAAGGCCGAGGAGAAGAAGCGGGTTGGGGGAGTTTGGGGGAGCTAGAAGGCAGTTTGGTGGGCACTGATGAGTCTGAGACTCGGACTGGGCAAGGCCAGTGGGAAATGAGGAGCCACAACTTAGTGGCGCACAATTCGAGGAGGCCAAGAGAAGAATGAAGAATGGAAGAATGGGTACTCCGTAGATGGCGATGGGTTTCATGGCGGAGACTGTAAGAGCTGTCATTGTCATAATTATTGAGTTAGTGTTTGGTTGGTGGTCACGGTGACTGGTGAAGGATAACTCTGGTGAGGCTTGTTGCGCCACTGTGATTGACTGTCGCTGGCACTGCTGCAGTCTTGTAATTAGATCGGCCGGTAATTAGCAGTCCGAGGGCGCAGCACAATTGCATCTGATATTTACACGTCAATATTGAATCCGGCATAATGACCAAGTTAGTCGGTGATTTAATTAACACGCAAACACGGTAGGGAATCAGGGGCTGCCAGTTCATCCAGGTCCAGTCTCCAGAGCAGAGGCTTCCAAGGGAAATTCTATCGGTACGGCCCATCTGCACCCACAGCGGCTCCATGTTCCCGTCAACGTGACACTTTTGTTGCAACTTTCCAATGGC